TCTTCAAACAACCTACAGCTACGACCTCTGAGCTGTTTAGACTCCTACCCTACAAGTCTACAGTTCGAATCCCTCCTACCCTGTGTCCTACGAAAATCTACCTACCACTGGCGATCCTACAGGTCGCAGGTTCAAAGCTACGGGTTGATATCAATACTGTACACAGGTAAGATGGGGAACTAGGGATCGAGCCCTGGGATCTGCATTCGCTACTGCGAACTGGTGAATACCGTTTCAAGATTACGGGCTAGGCTACCAGAGTGGCCCGGGACAACTTGCCAGCCCGGGGCAAAAAATAAAATAAAATTAAATAATAATAATAATAATAAAAATGAAAAAATGAAAACTAGATTTTATAACTTTTTAAGTTTTAACTTTTAAGATTTAACTACACTTTTTAAAGTTTTTTAACTTTTTATTTTGAATTTGGCAAAGAATTTCGATGTGACCCGGAGGCAAAAGTTGCTCAGTTTAATTTTCGGCATACTATAGTTGTTTTTCGGATTTTTTAGATTCCCCCCCCCCCCCCCCCTTTTTTGGGGGGGTCATTCTCCAGAATTTGCCCATAGTCTTCCCATCTTTGCTGCAAATTCTCATCCTCCAGAAACTCCTAAGCCTGCCGCTGGTAATGGAGGGGGGTTGGGTGGTAGTGCCCATGGATCATCATCATCATCACCATCACCATCACCATCACCATCTTCATCCTCATCATGATCATCATCATAATCATCATCATCATCATCATCACCGTCATTATCATCATCATCATCACCATCATCACCATCATCATCATCATACAATCTTGCTAAATTGGCCTATCAGTTTGCAGTTGAATGATCACATCCCACCCAGACATGCCTTGAGCCGCACAGATTTTAACACAGTTACTTTACCATAGTGAGTTTACTATCGCACATCCTGACACGCCTTTCCTTTTACGCGTGCTCGTGTCGGTCCCTGCTTTCCCAGCAGGTGCATGCTCCACAACAACAGCAAAAAGTGGATGTGGGTATCCTCCAGCTTCCGCACCTGTGAGGGTGCACATCGTCTCCGGCCGTCTCCAGACCAACTTGCTGGGTGAAAACCTCATGGTCCCAAGCTTGGCAATGTTGAGAGGAAGGACGATGCGAACTAGTGAGGAAAAGGGAAAATGCTTTTTAAAAACGACGGGCAAAAAAAAAAAAAAAAACGGAGACCAAGGCATCACAGTACTCCACACGCATGCAAGGGAGGGAACATGGAAGACAAATACGTACTTGCGAATAATTCCTGATGTCAATTGCTACCTGCACAAGGTTTTCCCAAGTCTGCCAGCTCTCACGCCTGTCGTGACGGAAGAGCGAAAAAAAAAGAAAAAGGCATCAGAGACAGCAATTATCCACCCTCTACCACGACATGGACCTTAAAAAAAAAAAAAAAAAAAAAAAACAATTAGCACTACAGCATCAATATCGAGGGGCCCGTTTTGCCAAATCGGATTTTACACGAACCTGGCCCTCCTTGCCTGGATGTCGGCCCGGCCTAACAGGTCACAGACCGTCACACACCTCGAGGAAGGGCAACCATACGCGTTCAGGCTGTGCCAAACAAAAGGTTTTTGCAGGCATTTCTTTCCCCTTTGCTTTTCCTAATATTTTTCCCGGCACGATGGGACCTGCCCTGCATCCATGAGTTTTTTCGGTTTGTTTTTCTTAATTTGGACCATTTCTTGATTTACACATGTCCTCCTAGCACAGAGCACAGCGGCCACGCAAATCTTCTCTGTATCGTGTCCTGAAGGACTCTTTTCGGAGTCTTTGATCGGCGGAGGTAAGGATAACAAACCTCCAAAAAGTTGGGGCCCCCAAAATTTTGTGCACCCCTTGAGAACCTCCCTTGCCACACTAGGCCGAACCTGCCAGCAGCCTACGTGCGCACCGGCACCAACATTGCTAGGCCTGAGTCGCACTGGTGGTTTTACTATTAATTAATAATTGATTTAATTGGAGTAGCGGATGTCAGGTGTTGATGCCAACAAACAAGTGATTTGATTGCTCGTCAGCCTTCTCATGTCAAACCTTTGGCATGAAGTTGTCAATCCAATCACCTCCCATGTTAAGGTCACCGAACGATGAATCGAGCAATCACATACGACAGCAGCAACCGCACGTGACAGAGATATGCTTTCCGCGTTGCTTGCTCTACATATACCTGAGGACAGTGAGGAGAATCTCACGAAGTATTTAGCTTTGTGAGCCTTGCGAGCCTTGTGACACTGTGTCAGTGCCAGAAGAAACCGGGCCATTATTTTGGGAATTTGGTATGCATGTGCTTTGTATTCGCCATACACAACTCCACAGACGGAACAAAAGAAGGGCGAGACTGGTTTGCCAGATTTACACTGGCTCGTCAGGAGAAGGTCGAACACCGACAGTCTTCCCTGGATGCGTTTGACTGATGGATAAGCGTACCCTGTCACCCACAGTTTAGTGATACCCATCATACCCCTGAGAAAAGTGGTCAGCTTTGCTCACACCAACCCTATCTATGTGTGCCGTAAGATTGCTTAAGACCGATACGAAATTCATCCAATAACTGGCTGTTAGCCATGTATTCATGCAGGACAGCAAAGTAAACGAATGCTCCCGAAGGAATGTGTCAACGAGTGGGTACCTTTCTCGTATTGTCGACTAGTAGGTCGCTACGGATGCTTCGTCGTAGAGATCTATGGCCTGTAGTTAAATAACCCCTTCCTTTTGTGCCGCGGAAGTTGATGGAGTCCTCACAGGGAGGCTCCGAGAGTTTGGTACGCGTGAGATACCTGTGGCCTGTCCGTTCTGGGGTGTATGGTTTGGGAGGTATCAGACAGAGTATTTTAAGCAGTGGCACTCCTGGTGTTTGCAGGGCTGTCATGGAACAGGCCTGGTTTCCGATGCCTACCTGGTGTCAGGGGCCGGTGCGAGGAATATGTGTCGAGGATATGTAATTACTAATTAAAGGCCCGCCGATGGCCTTCATTCACATTGATGGGAGAACAGGATGTGGTGTTGTCTTTTTTTTTTTTTTTTTTTTTTTTTTGAAGGATGTGGTGTTGTCAATCATCAAGGAAAAAAAAAAAAAAAACACAAATGAAGAAAGCGCTCCAGGAAATGCATGGGCAGCTACCGCCTGTACTCTATCCTCGTGCACGTTTTCGGGCCTCCTAGTTGCTTCCCATGCCAAATCCAGTCTGGCAAGAGGCCAATAGCACGCATTCAACCCCGTCTAGAAAAACTCTCCGGTGTCAGTGGACAGATAAATATGTGGTTTGCATTGTCATCAGGTGAGACGAGGATCATCGTACACCGCGACAACATGGCGTATAGTACTGTGTAGTATGCACAACATCCACCGACAACACCTTGTATTAAGATCTCTGTGAGTCTTGAACCTCACAATGAATTCGTAATTTCCGATCAGCTATCGGTCATCAAATACAGGAATGCTGACACACAGAAAGACACACACACACACACACACACACACACACACAGAGAGGGAGGTGTGGGAGCAGAAGCAGCATAGGGAGTTGTATGCAGGAAATGAAGCTTTACAAGGTTACACTGTTCTTATACCATACCTGAATTTCAGTGCCTCTTGCAGTGCCTTGAAGGCCCCGTTAGATCTCTTCTTCTTCATGTTCCTGCCAACATGTCAAAATAATCATAAGACTTACCCACCCATCCATGGCATGCACCAGTTAACACAGACTCATGTAATCATCTACTATTTTTGTAAGAGAGTGGTGGAAATGTTTTACTGTAGGGTGCGCAAGAACGGGGGAAGAAAAAAAAAAAAAAAAAAAAGGGGGGAGGAGGGGGGTTCAGGACTGACTTTGAGAATTCTGAATTGCTAGGAGTAGTTTCCCAACCTGCTACACAATTTTTATTTTTATTTTTTTAAACAAAACTGGAGACTTGAGGTATCGACAGGGCCCAGAAAGGGCAACTGAGGCTATGAGCCCATGCACCACCCCGGCACTCAGATCGGCAGACCTTTACGGTATCCAGACGCCCAGTGATTACAGTACGCTATCTGCCCATGCCTTATGCTGAAAGACCAAAGGTGACCACAAAATGACTTGTCACTATAAGACTATAAGGAATCATGCCAATAAGATTACAAAAAAAAAAAAAAAAAAAAAAAGTAAAAGTGACAAAGATGAAAGGAAAAAATTGTTGTTCAACTGCTTAAAAGGGCCTTTACGAATCAGACCCCAAATGGATGCCCCAATAGCAAGGGGCCCTGTCGACCAGAACTTAACTTCACGAGCAGCAACTCAAAAGACGAAGTTCCTGAGGTAAAAGTCACATCCATAATGAAGTGGTAAGTCATTTTGAAAGGTCACAACAGGTCCTGAACGAACAGGTATTGGACACAATTTTCAAGACTGAGTTAGGGTCATGTCTCCTCGATGAAAAGACGTGTCTGTTCGGTAATGAGTCAAAGGCTACAGTCCCCGTCCAGTCATAATCCCACGAGTCAGTCCTGATTCAGACCAGGAGTCCAAAAGACAGGCCCGATGGCCCAAAGCAGCAGCAGACCATGGGAAAACATACTGGGACACACACTTTGGAACAATCGGTACTGGGCAGGAGTCCCAGGCACATTTGAGGCTGAATGCACTCCACGCCAGACCAGTCCAGCACTATAAAGGACTGGCCAGCCTCCCATTTGGACAGATGCTCACTTCGCATGAGAGTGTGGAAGTGCCGTGGCACTTGTGCGCTGGATGTGTGTGAGCTGCGCTAGGCTGAAGAGCAGCGCTATGTGGGAAGGAGAAAGAGAGTGCTGGCTAGAGGGAAGGCAGCCATAGCTGCGCCAGCGCTAGTTAGTATATTAGTGGGGATAGTCAGTAGGAGATACCAGTGAGTAGTATTCAGAGTAGATCCTCGTGTGATAGGGAGTGTGCATGCATGATGTTTGAGAGTAGACCAGGACTATAGACATAGAGAGAGAGAGAAGAAGGCAGACGAGAGAGGGGGAAGTGTGAGCTATGGTGGCACTTACCTGTTGAGCGCCGTTGTTGACATTTGGCAGCTGGCGCTGATGAGTGCAAGGCTTGGAACTCATGTTGATCGAAAGAAGACCTGTAAGTCTGTTCAGCGCTATATACTTTGAACTCACGATGTTCTCTCTCCAAATCTGGGTTTGATAATTGAGTTGAGCTTCCTGGTTCTCATTCATCTTCTATTGGGTTTTGTGTGAGACTTGGCAATCTGTGAAATCAGTGTATATGCATGTGATCTGTTGCACTCCAGCAAGTGATGAACAGTCGGGATCCTTGCAGCTGGTACACCACTTATTTGTTCATTGAATATGCCATAAAGGGCCTGTTGTTTTAAACCAGCTAATATAGCATGATGATCCCAAGTTACAGCAGCTCCAGATGAAAGTAGAATAAGAGTATTTAGAAAGGGGATTCCCCAAGGATCTAACGCATCATATCGGGAAAACATTCATTTACATTACTCGGATGGATCAATCCCAAGGGAAGTCCTGTGTTGATTTGATAAATATTAGCAAGAGGATACCTTAGAGACTATGAAAAACAGTAGATAGAAGATATGGAAACAGTTTTAACAAGATAGCTCCAAAAGCCTCCAATTTCTACGGTAGGCGCCAGACTTGAATGAAAGAAAGCCCAACTGTTCAGTTATACAGAGACAAGTGTCACAATTTCCGATGTGACACTTGCAAACTGCATATGCGAGTTTAGGTGCAATGTACGGAAGGGTTCATCTGGACAACGGAGTGGCCAATCACTGTGGGTGACTGTCATCTGTCTAGGAGCAATGTATGAAAGGCTCTTGTTCTTCTTGCAAATACCTCACCCCTTCTTTTTTTCCTCTTTCGAAATGAAAAGGAGGGGCCCGTGCCAAACCTTATCGCACAGGATTCCAACTCCTGCTCTGTTTATCAACAGTTAAAAATGTGTGTTGTACTGTGTACCTCATTTTGGCATGCACTACCACCTTTCCTCTTTGCTTCAAACTGAAAAAGTGGGGACCGTGCCTAACCTTATCCTGCGGGATTTGAACTCTTGATCTGTTTATCAACAGTTAAATGTGCGTACCACTGTACCTCATTTTGGCCTTGCGACATGTGGATAGACCGACCCAGGTAATTTAAATTTATTCTTGAATTCATTCTGGAGTCGACTCTTGGGTTATTGGATTCTGAATTTCTGAGTTCTAATCTTGATTTTGTTCTGTGTTCACCACTACAACTTTTTTTCTGAGTCCATAGAAATCATCAACCGGCGCAACCGCCAAATTAGCTAGGCTACCAGACTGGCCCAGGACCCCTTTGCCCGGCCGGGTTAACAAAAAGTAAAAATAAATAAAAAATTAAATATATGTTTAACCGTTTAACGCTATATATATACATACCCTGCTACGGTTTTCTCCGGTCAGGTCGAGCAGCAGTGGTCGGGGCCTTCACTACGCAACCATGTGTGCCTCAAGTGCCAGCGGCGTGTCTAGACTCTAGAGTGTATTTTTTGGCTGTGACAGACCTTTCTTTGTTTCGTGCTTGGTGCCCACCTCAAGGTATCAGCTGTTGGGCAGTCGTTGATGCTTAACCAGAACCAGGGTTAAGGTGGATTATCACTCGCAGAAGTTCAGTGTAATCAGAGTTAGGGGATTCTGCAGACCGTTGGGGGTTCAGCCTCCTGATGAGTCGATGAAACTCCGACGAAACAGTTTGTTACAGCCCCGTGTTTCTTGTCCTCTTCTCCCTCTCTCTGCCTACGGTTTACGGCAGCTCTGTTTGAAGATATATATTATATATACAGAGCTTCCCGGAAAACCGTAGGCAGAGAGAGGGGGGAGAAGAGGACAAGAAACGAGGGGCTGTGACAAACTGTTTCGGCATGAGTTTCACCGACTCATCAGGAGGCTAAGCGATCAACAGTCTGCAGAATCCCCTAACTCTGATTACACTGTACATTTTTAAAATTTGGTACTGAATTTCGATGTGACCCTGAGGCAAAAGTTGTTCAGTTGATTTTTCTGCATAACGTTTTTTTTCTCAGAATGTTTTGATTTTTTTTTGTTTTGATTTTTTTTTTTTCCTGCTGGGACCTTCTTGGGTCCCTGCACAGCCGAGCCGCCCGGGCTAACAAGCTGACCTGGACGGCCCGGCTGGTAGCCTTGAAATTAGCATTAATTTTGAGTTCAATTAGATCAATAATTGCCATTCCACTGTTCCAGCATTTTCCTCAAATTCCAAACCAACGAAATATCCCTCGTTTTCAGGTCGAGCCTCCCCCAGCACCAGGCTCGACCTGAAAACGATGGCCTCTTAACCATGGTAACCGCCCGGACGTCCGGACCGGGTTCCAGACAGTCCGGTGTCCGGTGTCCGGTCCCCATGTCTGGATGGAGGCCCCTGGGGCAAAAA